AGAAAGTGCGAAAGAAAAAAAAAGCATGCGAAAAAAAGTTTTAATTTACGTTATATATATCAGTGATTAGAAAAATTGATTACATTTGTAAAATCACGTGCTCTGCGAAATTTTTTAACCTGGTATTACTAGTCATAATTAGAGCTTTGTATTCATATTCGTTATTCGAATAAAGAATTATCTAATGAATAATTCGAATAGGTAAATTTTATTCGAATAAATAATTTATTCGAATAATTTTTATTATTCATCATGTGAAACTTTAGTCATTTTGGTTATTAGCTGCATCGCATCCAAAAACTCGAATCAATAGTACTTATTCGAATGATATTAGTCATTCAGCGAATATTCGAATAAATATTTGCTGATTTAAGTTATTCGAATATAAGAAATCAGTAAGCTCTAGTCATAATTAGATTATCTGCGCAACCAAAATTCAGTAGATCGTGCCAAATTATAGGGCAAAATGCACCGGAATTGGCCGGCATTGATTAATTTTGTCCAGATTATCCAAAATTTCACTAGCTCGTTAACCAAATAAAGCTGTCCAGATGATAATTTTGCTGTAATACAAGTTAATTGTTATTCTTAATGCCAGCCTAAATCCGATGAAATCGACCGGGTAAAACCACCCAAAAAAGTTGCGAAAATCACGTGATATTGTTAATTCATATGGTGCAGTAAGTCTTAACTAGACAATGTTTCAATTTTGTGTACCCTAAATTAGCCTAGAATACGTAATACATATTAAATTAAACATTTTGGATATTTTATAGAATAGGTGGGCAATATAAGAAATAAGCTTCGCTAATGATTAGTAATCATTAATTTTTTAATAGCGGAGTTGTGGAATTTGCGGAGTTTGCCCACTATTCTATAGAACATCCATAATTTTTTTGAAAAATTTTATTTTTTAAATCTAAATTTTGATTGGTCAAAAAAAATTTTATAATAAAAATCCAAGTTTTTGATTGGTCCAAATTAAAAATCATATACGTTTCAATTTTTATTTTTTAATATAAAAATAATCTAAATTTAAAGGCTATTAACTCTTTATAGAAATTATATTTTTAAAATCTGACCGGTAATTTTGTAGAGTCTAGTCTTGGAAAACAAAATTACTGGTTAGTTTTTTAAATTTTTGTTAATAGATTTTAAAGATCATCTATTATATCGGTGAGTTAAGACTTCCTGCACCATATTAATTGATTTTCTTCAAAATGAATGCGATCGTTGCAATCTCGACAAACCAAGTGATTCCTTTAAAAGCATAAAATACAATAAACACAATATTCTAAAAAAAATACGCATTAATTGTCGTAACCAAATTTCCACTAATAATAAATGAAAAAAGAATGAAAATTGAAATAAAATTATACCAACCAATCAAGAAAATGCAATTGCACCGGAAAACTTTGTAGATTTTATTTTTAACGCTCCTCCGGAAAACTATGACTTTGATTATTTATTTGAGCAAAAGTTTTTATAATTCTGGATCCAGGACGCAATAAAAAAAAAATTATTGAAGAATCCAAGTGGTAACTATTGCTCAATATAGTATTAATAAAAAAGGCAATGGAATATTCCAAATACTTGAAAAAACCGGAATCATAATATTTTCTGGCTGTAATAAATATTACGTTTATTAAGTTTGTTCGAAATAAAATTTATTGCTTATCGTTATTATTTTGTCAGTCTATAAATTTTTTTTTGTTTGTTTTTTTATGAATTCTTGTACTTGTCATGTGGTGTTCGAAACTTTTTTGGGTGGCGATTTTACCCTGCCATGAAATCCGACCCATAATTCGGTCCGATCTGAATTTTAGTTGCGCCGCCGCTAATCTATCCCAAATATTGCTTGTCCCTGATTCCATATTTGAACAATCCCTCTTTTAATCTAAGTTAATCTTAGATCCGGAACTTAAAAATACCCGATCTGTGCAAACAAAACTTTTGGGACAATTCCTCTTAAATAGCCACAGGCTATTTTTATATATCTACGATAAAACAATCAAACATTTAAAACAAAAGTCAATTAAATATTTAGTCAAACAATATTAACTAAAGATCCCAGATCTTTAGCCTTTGTAATAAATGACTGTCTAAAGGGTTTATTTTAAACATGTATATAGACTTTTTTTTTGGTTGCTACCAATATATGTTTGTAATCTAATGAACGAGCGAAGTGACCAAAAAATACAGTGATATTAATGAAATTATGAGAATATTTTTCATGTCTATTTTAGCAATTGATGATGCAAAACTTATTATACATGTACCTATTATAAATACATAAAAATCATGTTATTAATAAAACCTATTGAATTGAAATCAGTATTCATCAAGGAGCTTAATTGAAATGATATTTACATTCGAAGCCATTACCACTACAATCCGTAGTAAAATCCTTAAAAGCACATTGGATGTCCCTACAACGCTTGGCACTGATTGAACAATTTACAATGAATTGATTACCATCAACAATCAGTTTTGGTTGTTGGATGGTAGGTTTTGAAGTTGAAGTTGATCTAGATGATGAAGTTTTTGATGCGATTGTAGTTGGTAACGCTAACACTGGTGTAGGTGGTAACGCTGATGTAGTTGGTAATGTTGACATGGGTGGAGAAGAATCTTGTGCCAACAGATTTGGTATAATAGTATCAATTTTAATTTTTGATAGATCAATGGCTGGCAGACTAGACGAAGATTTGACGCCAAATAAACTCATGTTTAGAAATACGCCAAAAATTGTTAATG